TACATGCAGCGGCGCGTATTGAATCGTGAGTTTGTCCGCGCCACTTTCTCGTCAGGCGTTCAGCCGCTATCGCTATTGGGGGCCACGGACTGCTCGCTTCTTCGTACTGGCGGGTAAGGTGCCTTGCTGCTGCCTTGAAATAAGCATGGGTTTCTAGTTGCATGCAAGCTGCCGCAGGGAATAAGTACAGATGTGATCCCAGGATCCAGTGGGTTCAGCCTTATCGTTGGTATTCTGTCTCATCAGCAAGCAACATCGTCACCGTCTTGGTGTTGAGGTACCACACCAACAACCTTTTGCAATGTTCACGCGCACCATCGTCGCCGCAGTAGCTTCTGTCTTCCTTGCTGCTGCTCAGGGTTCGGACTCGGAACATACACACGCTGCTTTCGCTTTTGTTCGAACGGGAGAGAGAACACCTATTCTACGCAATGATACCCAGGTCCTCACCACTGTCGGCGCAACCCAAATGCACGCGCTAGGGCAGAAGCTCAGATCAAAATATGTCACTGGTGCCGGATCCATTGCGGGTGTGTCAAAGGACGTTCTGGACAACGATCAGGTTTGGGTTCAAACGTTGGATACGCCGTACCTCGTATCATCTGCCCAAGCCTTCATGCAGGGGCTCTACCCACCACAGGAAGCTAGCAATGCAACGGAAGTGCTCGCAGATGGCACTTCTGTCGACTACCCGCTCAACGGGTATCAGTATGCTAGCATCCACGCTGCCAGCCCCAACGACCCGTACTCGAGACTCGTATCTGGAACATTATCCTGCCCTCAAGGACAGGCAGACGGACTGAAGTATTTCACTACTCCAGAGTTCAAGGCGGCGAAGGAAGCCAACGAAGATCTATACAAGAAGCTGAAAGTGGATTGGTTTGAAGGCTTCGCCGAGCAAGATGACTTGTCTTACACCTTCGCACTTGAACTCGCAGATTACCTGTCATACCAATACGTGCACAACTCTAGCATCTACAAAGCCTTGGCAAACGACTCCGACTATACAGGTGTATATGACAAACTGCGATACAATGCCGACGAAGTAGCCTGGTATCTCTACGGAAACACCTCCGCATCTACTGCAGACTCCGCCGACCGAGCTATTGGTGGCAAAACACTCGCAGGTTCAATCCTTCACTCATTCAACCAACTCCTCCCAGAGAAGACAGACAGCGAGAATTTGATTAACAACGCTGGGCAGACCAATAAGCCCAGCCCGCTTACCTTCTTCTTTGGCGAACAGGACGCCATGGTGAGCCTCATGTCACTCATGATGCTCGACTCCCAATCACCCGGCTTCAAATCCATTCCCCCTTACGGCTCAGCCATGATCTTTGAGCTCTTCAGTACAGGTGATAGCGCGGAGATGCCCAGTGATCCCAACGACCTCTGGGTACGCTTCTATTTCCACAATGGAACAGACTCTGACAACGAGCCACTCCGGTCATACTCCATGTTTAACAGCGGGAGGTCGATGACAGACATGCCGTATGGGGAATTTTACACTATACTGAGCAGTATTGGCATGCAAGGATTGAGTGACTGGTGCAAAAGCTGCAGCAGTCCAAGTCTTTTCTGTGTCGGCGCTGATGGAAGTGGTGTAACACTTGTAGTTCCCACACCACAAGAACGACCGAAGAAGGATGCCATTTCCCCTGTCGTTGGAGGCGTCATAGGCGCGGTTGTTTCTCTCGTCGTAGCCGGTCTACTCTTCGCGCTCGCCATGTTACTCGCTGGCATCCGCTTCCATCGGGTCGAACAACGTCTTGGTCACAATCCGAAATCAGGGTTCGGTGGCTTCAAAGGATCTGCAAAATTGGCATCGGATCCTGATGTTAGTCTGTCGGGAAACGCCGTGCCACCAGCTACTGCTACAGCAGGTATCGTTAGCTTTGGTGGAGACCACAAGAGGGGACATGAAAGGGTTGGAAGTTGGGAACTCAGACAGAAGGAGTTTGGTAAGGATATTGGGGAGGCGAGTCCGAGGAGCAGTTTTGAGGCGATTGATGCTGTTGCCACGAGGGGAGTTGAGTCGCATGACCGTGTGTAAGTTGCGCACGTTCTTGAGCAGGAAAGATGGGCAAATTTGAGTGGCGTATTTTTGTTTTTTCTCTGTTACGCTCTTTACGACAAGATGGTGGAATGTATATCCAGAGGAGAAGAGAGGAAGGGGCCCGTCGGCCTTCACTTTGTACGATCTTGATACCCGGTTTTCCTCTATGGATGCCATTGAAAGTTATGCTTTACTATAACGACGACACTCGCTTTACGAATCAAGAAATTCAAGCATTTTTGAAGTTCTCATCTCTTTCTCTCATTCACTTACATATCGTGATATGTTGTCTATTGTCTTGCCTATCATACCCAAATCTCACTCCACATACGTCTACAAAGTTCCTCCACCTATCCATATATCCATTGATCAAGCCAAGCCAAAGCAAGAACGCATATTCCAATGGTTAAGACGCCCACTGCATGCACCCTCTACTGAGTAGTGCTGCGCTGATTGGACCGAAAGGACCACGAGCAGGACGCAGTTGGCGAGAAGCCGCAACGTGGTTAATGTGGGAGATGCTAGTTCGAGTCTAGCTACGTTCAAGACATATTCATTTTTGCTTGAGCTTGGGGTGTGTATGAAGAAGATGGATTGTAGGTGTTGCGAGAAGATATGAGCTGTTATACTTCCAATACACACATACTTGCTTTAGATGTATGTTGAGGACGAACTCCAAATTGTCAGTTCATCACTATTGTCATTCACGTTGAACCGAACCCCTATTCGTCTTCATCTTATTATCTGGTCAAATCAGGCTCCTTTCTATTCTCAACGTGTCCTCTTTACAAGTTCGCAGGCCAGAGTGTTGAGTTATGACGTGTCGATATCAGAGTAGAGACGATGCAAGACGTGGTCTGTAAGCTTGACCGGGACGTTGATCTAATACGGAAAAGGATCAGAGGCAGTGTAACAATCTAGAATCGGAAAAATTTATATAATCTCATTGAAGGCATGTAAGAATGCAAGCAGACATAGGTATCGGCCGCATGCCATGCCTTTTTAACTCCTTCCGAACGCCGTGTAAAGGCAAAAAGCCACAAAAGTAAGGCTGTGCCAAAGCACATATCGTATTTTGGTCTCATTAACGTAAACATCCACCATATTATCGACAAAGAAACGAAGACCTGAATACATCTCTTACTCATCTCAACAGCTGTCCTGCGATGCCGACAGCAACACCTGCTGTCATGAGGTAATCGGCACAGCGGGCTCTCATGCCTGCGTTTCCTTGACCGTCAAAAGCCGCACAAGCCTCGACAGTAAGCTGCGAACATCCCAGACTGCTCAAGCTCGAGCAGATGCTCTGAGCAGACTGGAGGCCCACACTCGGGATCGCGGTAATGGTGGCACCGGCGCCGTTGGGTGCCGATATAGTGACGCCAGCCGCGCCGTTGGCTAGAGCAGTCGTACAGCTTGCAGCATCACTTTGGCAGCTTGTATAAGCGGACGAGCAGGCAGCTGCGTTGGAGTAAGTCGTCGGTATGTACGGAAAAGGGTAGAATTGGTTCTGTACCGTGCTTCCGTGGTTTGCGCCATTTGTTTCCTGCACGAAGGGGCTGTCGCCTGTTGTGGATGCGATTACGAAGGAGACGGTGGATGTGGCCGAGGGATTTGCGCCCGTGACAATGGCGCCAATTGCTCCTGTGCATGCTGCGCCCTGGGGGCAGCATGCTACATGTCCGGCCTGGTCGGCTGAGCACACGGCTGTTCGTGGGCAGCAGAGTCCCGGGGCGCCGAGACCAGCACAGTTGAAGTATTGGGTTGCGCATGCATTGCTGTTTTGTCGCTTGAGGACTTGGGCGCCGCTGTCTGCGGGAGATGTCTCCATGGCCTCGTATACGGGCTTCTCTAATGGCGCAACGGCTGGTTCGAAGTCGGCGAAGACATCTGGTGCGGCGAGCGCTGCAAGCGGTGCAAGCAGCAGCGGAGCGAGGAATGTGCGCATTTTCCGAATAGGGACGTCTTGGTCGGTCGTGGACGAGAGTACGCGGCTTGCGCCTGAGAGTTGTGAGCTTGTTCGGGGCCGGGGTGATTGTTGGGACGGCTATCGATATAGGGGACCTCGGGAGGCTGGCGGCTGTGGGTGTGTGTGAGTATGGGACCGATGAGCGCCAATTGCCAACTCACGCTTAATAGACACAAGACGCAATCGATGGTTCGGTGCTATGGGCTGTCAAGTGTCGAGGTGTCGTGGGCATCAAAGTCGGTGCGGCTGTGCTATGCTGCCAAGCCAGCTGCGTTGTAACGGCAACGCGGTCTAACCATCCAATCGGACTGTAATACGTCATGCATGTTGCACGTTCTCACTCAGGCCCGCGATGCGGGTATGCGGGCCCTGATGATCTTCTGCCTTTTGACTCTGGCCCTGCTGGCTAGATGCAATCACGTGAAACATGCCTGCTACGTGTGACTATTGCTCTGAACGCATGGTAACTAACATGAAGTTTGAGCAAGTTTGCGCTCAATACTCGCACTTCCCACCTCGGTGTAACCATCAGCCACCGACCCCCTACCTAGATATAACAGCAGATGTAATCCCAGAATGTCCACTTAAACCTCTAGCCTCCAAAGCAGCCAACGATTCGCTTTCTGTGTCTCAGCTTACTACTACTGCCCATACACTTCCGGATATCGTCCACGCCGTCGGCCAATCTGATCTCCACCTGGCACCAAGTTTCCCATTAGCACCGTCTTTGCTTCGAAGAGATGAATCCGTCATCCTCTGATCGGCGGCAACATTGGATGCAGTATGGCTTGGTACAAGACTACGTTGTCTCACCGTAAGGCTGATGGTGACAAGGGCAAGAAGGTCGCCGAGAAGCTGCGAGGGCTAGAGGGAGTATGGCGGACCCAAGCGTACCGAGAAGCATGGCTACTGGACGAGTGAGAACACAGCCGTTCTGCCGGTGAGCAATGGGATGCTGCACTGGGTACCATAGGAGTCGGGAACTACTTTGCCGAAGTCCAGGTTGTTGAAGCTTCATCACTTGCCAACATAGACAATAGTCTACAACAAGACGACGTCGTTCTCCTAGTACAATCGGGCTCTCAGGGACCGGGAGGCAACATCCTCAAGAAGTATACGACAGAGACGCACACTAGCTTCGAAGGGGGTAGTGCAGATGCAATCGGATACATGGAAGAGCAAAACCAGGTCTGTGAGTGTGCAAAAGCAAACAGAGACCTAATCGCCTTGCGTTTTCGTGCATGCCTTGAACCTGGCAATGAAGATTGGACTTTGGGCAGCTGGAAAACACGCTTCCAGTATCTACAATATTGTTCCTTGTGATTATGTGTACATCCACAGGAAAGGTGCAGCACCAACGTACGATCCGAAGATTCAGTTACCGCCCAGCTTTCTTCCACTGCCCGGATCCAGAGGCACACCGACGCTCATTCTGCAGCTAACGTTCTCAACCTCCAATGCATGGGGTCTGGAGAACGAGCTTTCGCTTACCCACGGTGCGGGACGCGCCATGTCTCGGGCAAAGGCACTGTTGGCATTGGCACAGAAGTACAAAGGTCAAAACATCCTGGAGCCACGGTTGACAGACTTGCAAGGCACGTGGGTCATTTGTGACGAAAAAGACCTTGTTTTTGAAGAAGCTCCAAACGCATACAAAGACGTCCAGGCTGTCGGTCAAGATCTAGTCGATGCCGATACAGCGCAAGTTGTCGGTTGGTGTCGAGCTAGGATCAGCTACAAGGTCAGAAATGAGACGCGTTGAGGTGATGTCTTATCGGTGGAGGTGGATCTGCCGACACAGCAATACACTGTGCAGACATCTCACGAATCGCTTTCCACAGGACAGATGCTGACCCGTAGGAAAGCGGCGCGGCAGAAGAGACGGCTGCTGAAAGTCTTGTGCAATGTGCGCGGGGTCAAGATGGAGCTGTAATCTCCATGCTTCCATATAACTCTGCGTCACTTAGATGCGCAACCCTGTCTTTTCTCGATCCACCCGCTTCTGTCAATTTCCTCTGATTCCCATTTCCCATCCGTCATTTCTTCTCACACCCGTCTTTGCCGTGTCACACAGTTTTGTCAATCGGGGCTCTTGGAATCCATGCCTCAGAATGCCTCAGTAAAACACAGAATAAATCTTCTGCTACACCCGCCTCAGGAACGCATGTTTGGTCTATTTGCGTCAAGTAAGCGCGACGGCGAGAGTTTTGTGTGGAATGTTTGTTTCCTTAGGGCGCGGCTACCGGAAAAGGTGCAACATGCAAGCGCCATGTCATTGTATGGGGTAAATTTGGATCTGTACCAAGGCTGTTAGACCCGACTAGCGCTGCAGTAGTCAAAGCTTGGTACGTTGGCGGCAAAAGCAACATCTGCGACATCCGAGACCCTTGCCTCAGGACATGTGCATCAACAAGCGACTATACGACAGAAACACTTGAACTGCCTGCAGCTTCGGTTGGCCTAGGAGTATGACTCTGAGCTTTCGACCTCGTCGACGCACTGCACCTTGGCGTTGGCGCATACCGAAAACTGAGTTGGCTGGGGCCAAGTCTTCACAAACTCCACACCAGGGCTCAGCCCTGGCCTCAGGAACAAGGCCTGCCCCCACAATGATTGGCCGGCAAAGCGCCCATGCGTCTTGGTGTTTCGAAACGGCGAAGCGGGCGTGCGTCCTCTAGTGCATTTACGGCAAACAACACATGGTTTCAAGCAATAACGCACACTGCCTCTGTTCCCAGCGGCCAATCAGCCGGGCATGAATCGGCTGAAGAGGGTTTGTAGGGTATTCGTCTTCGGGAAGGCGCGTTGATGAATTTGTGACGGCTTTCGATGTGTGACGCCCCAACCACCGGTGCCTGACTGCGCCTCTACCCAGCAGGCAGGAAAATTATATAGTGTTTGCCAGCCGCCGCATGTCCTGAGGAATCATCCCTTTGCAAGCTATCCCTTCACTGGTTTTTCCTGCCGTTCATCTTTTGCATACAACAGTTCTCTCTCCACTTTGCTTGTCAGCATTCGTTATAATATTCGGTATGTAGTCCCTCGACCCATTTGCGCTATCTTGCCCATCACTGCCCGTGTAACCGTGTTTGCATCTGGAACTTTCCCTTCGTTTGCCTTTGTCACAAGGTTCACATCGCGCTTTCCCCTCTTACACCTCAACTGCGCCGCTCCTCATATAAACACGCTTGGCACGCCCACTTCATCTCTGCAAAACACCCACTTCTCTACTTTACTTGTCCACCCCGCTCTCACACCGTCGCTCGCTAAACAATCCTCACAGTCGAATCTCAACCCCATTCTTTACACAAGGACAATCACCATAATCAAAATGCTTGTCTCAGTCATCTCCGTCTTGGCCGCGGCATCCGCTGTCGCCGCTCAGTCCTCGACTGTCATTCCCGCTCCCGTAGTGACCGGTAACCCTATCGGCGCCAAATACGTTGGTACTCTTCCTCCCAAGGAGGGCAGCACCCTCACTGGTTCTATCGAGGCAACTACTGGCGCCGATGGCAAGGGCGTCAAGTTCTCCGTTTCGTTCGCTGGCCTCCCCGAGACTGGTGGTCCCTTCATGTACCATCTTCACGCCAAGCCGGTTCCTGCTGATGGAAACTGCACTGGCACTGGCGCTCACTTGGACCCGTACATGCGCGGCGAGGTTCCCGGTTGCGATGCCAGCAAGCCCGAGACATGCCAAACTGGTGACTTGAGCGGAAAGTACGGAAATGCCACTGAGCAGACTTTCTCGGCCGAGTACACTGACTTGTACTCTGCTACTCTGCCTTCAGACCCTGCTTTCGTACGTCTTGATCATACAATGTAACAGAAAAGCAACATGCTAATATATCCCAGTTTGGCGCCTTGTCCTTCGTCGTTCATCTCAGCAACAAGACTCGTATCGGCTGTGCCAACTTCACCATGATCGACGCTGGTGTTGATGGCTTTGGCGCTCCCCCGGCGTCTTCCTCTGCGCCTGAATCTTCAGGCTACGGCGCTGTTCCTTCATCCACAGGCTACGGCGCCGCTCCTTCATCCACAGGCTACGCCGCTCCCCCACTGTCTACTGGCTACCCTATGATGCCTCCCACCAACACCTCTTCTGGCTTCGCTCAGCCCTCAGGCATGCCCCTCTACAACACCACCACTGTCGCTACCTCACCAACTGCTGGTCTGCCCATCACTCCCAGCGCAGCATCCTCATCAGCCCCAGCTGAGTTCACCGCCGGCGCCGCCAAGGTTGCCGGTGGCGCTGGTGCTCTGCTTGCCGCAGCTGCCGCCGCACTTGTCTTGTAGATGAGCAATGTCGATGCTCAGACGGGAAAGAAAGCTGGACAGCAGGTGCATTATGGCGTTTTCTTTTGTTTTCTTTTTATGATTGTCATTTGATACCAGGCGGGCGGGTCGCAAGACCGACTCATCGCTTTCTTCGTCGGAGACACGGGAGGGTTAATATTTGGGAACCTTTCGCATGTGTATAGGGTCATGTTCATGGGGTCGCTTCTTCGATAGTGGAGTTTGATAATGGGATAGATGTGGATATGTCACAGTTTTGCAAGATTCTTTCTGCTTGCCTTGTTACCTTTGACAAGTCTTCAGGTGTAGTGCATCTAGGTACACACTCCAGCTGTTTGACTTGCTACACAAAGTGACGAGCGAATACTGGCGCGTACAACATCACCTGTCATGATCAGAGTGATAGTTGATGAGGTTGGTGGACTTTTCAATCGCAGCCGAATGCCATTATACTCATATTGATGAGGGTATCTTTCCCAGCTCAGGTGCCTTAACTACCTATAGCTGTATACGTAATGAAATGAAGAAATATATCGTTTTCTAGTCAACAATCCTTGACTCTATATCCTACTCCTGCCCGAAGCGGTGGCGGAATGTATGCGCGACTGGAAGTAACAAATAGTTAGGCTTTGGCTTTGGCCGCCGTCGCTGGAGCCTCATCGTCACTGTCTGGTGTATCGGAACGGCCAGACTTCTTGAACTTTGGCTTGTCTTCTGCGAGCGAAAGTTGGAGACCACGGTGGTTATATCTCCTGCCCTGGAAGCCGGCAACGAAATTCTCAGCAGGCTCAAACTCGCGGAAGCGGACTGTGACGACACCCTCGGGCTCTCTGTCGTATAGAGTGCAGTTGGTGACCTCACCGTACTGCTCCGCTGCCTCGCGCATGTCTTCCTTGATCTCCAGATATGCGCCCGCGTCCTCTTCGAGCTGCTCCAAATCAAATATGTTCCTGATGATGACGACTTTAGCCCATTTGTTCTTTTTGGGCGCCAAGGTCTCGGCGACGTAGTCTTCGTTGTCGGACCACTCGTTGAGCTTCCTGTGGATTTGTCAGTGACAATACAGAAGTCTGCAGACTTGCGAACTTACTGGTTTAGCTCAGCGCGATTGCGCTCAGACGCTTTCCTATCCTTGCGTGTAAGCTTGGATGCGATCTTCTCGCCGTCTCTCTCTTTCTTGTGCTCAATCTTAGCTGCCTCGACGTGGATGTTGCCGTTGGAGTTGTCACCTGGGCGGAGAGGGAAGTCGTCCATCAGCCTGATCGCATTGGCAATTGCCTCTTTCTTGAAGTATACAACCATGGCAGTACCATTGAAGACGCCGTCGGTTTCGTACATGTAGATGCGCGGCTCGCCGTTGGCGCCCTTGTCAATGATGCCGTACCTCGAGCACTCGTCCTCGAGCTCCTTCTTCGTGGTATCAAGAGGCAGGTTGGAGATCCAAATAGCCTTGTTCTCCATAACCTTGGGCTTCTTGTTGGTCTCAGGCTCCTTCGCGTTCTTGCGCTTCTTGGTGTTTTCGGTCGCGGAGGGATCTGTAGCAGATGGAGTGTCTGAAGCAGACGGACGGCCCCCTGCCTGGTCCATGAAGTCGTCGAGCTCGCCCATTGTATACTAGAGGATCGCTACCGGAAGCTTTGCAGGCGCCAGGGTGCAGTTTTTCGGCCTGTCAAAACGCACAGAGACGGGTGTAGGCGTCGGCGTATCGTGTGATCTATGCTTGTTGACGTGAAGCTTGAGATGTCGGCGGCAGAAAAGTTGGGCGGTGAGGTGTGCTGCGGGACAAATGCAGAAGGCGCTACGGCGGCGATGATTTTCCGGTGCCGGTGCCAGCGACAACAAGGGCGGTTGCCTGGAGAGCGTTCAGGGCTCTGCGAGTGATGACAGGCGCTGTTGCTGTTGAAGACGCCATGTTTCGTTAGTCTTTCTGAAGGGCAAGCCCTCTAATGCCGCCATGCTCTTTCGGAGGGCGCGGATGAACCTACACAGCGCTGGGCGAGATGTATAGGGCCTCTGTGTCGAGAGAAGTGTCGTTACGGCCGTTGTGGCAGATTGAGCGTCGTGATGGAGGAGACGGATGACGATGGCGGAGGATCGATAGAGGCGCGGAGTGGTGCATGCAGGACGCCGGCAAATTCCCGCCTAGCGCGCTCAGGGTAGCTGCTCAAGCTTCGATGTTCAGGTCCGTCAGCCCCGCATGTGACGACTCAGGGATCAGGCAAAACGCCCATCCGAAGCATGCAGTGTAGGACACACGAGACACTCCCTACACAAGAGGAAACTTTCTTGGTCAGATCACTGCGCCCCACAGATGAGTATATATAGGCGGAGAATGTAGCCCTGCGACTCCAGTAATCCTCTCCATCCTTACTCTTACTACTGCGGCGCATAGCGAAACTGATACCATGTCTCTAGTCGACATCTTAACCAGACCCAATATGCGAGATCCTCTTCCTCCACCTTCACTGCTCGTGCAGGCTAGCAAGTCATTCGCCGACAAGCTGAGCCTGACAACACTTCCGTACCATGTTCATGAGATCTTCCTCGGCTTCTTGGGTTACCATTTCATCCTCCATGTCCTTTCCCCAACCATTTCGCAGCTTGTTTGTCCCAAGGTATACAATGGCTTCAACAAGCGCACGCGGCTCAACTGGGACATCCACTGGGTCTCCATGATCCAGGCTGTCTTCATATGCGCCGCTGCGCTGTGGGTCATTTTCAAGGATGAACAGAGACACGAGATGGACTGGAGAGGTAGACTCTGGGGTTATACACCAGCTAGCGGCATGGTTCAGGGATTCGCTGCTGGATACTTCCTGTGGGACCTTCAGATCTCTGCCCAGTACATCCACATTGCTGGAGTAAGCTCGTTAATCCACGCCATCGGCGCTTTGGCAGTCACCTGTATTGGTTTCGTAAGTTGTGCGCTTACAAATGTGTCGCATATGCTGACTACCTTCCAGAAACCCTTCGGAAACTACTACGGTCTCTCCTTCGTCCTCTACGAACTCTCTACTCCTTTCCTCAACATCCACTGGTTTTGCGACAAGCTCAACATGACAGGCTCAAAGCTCCAGCTCTACAACGGCATCGCTCTGCTTGTCATGTTCTTCTGCTGTCGCATCGTGTGGGGATCGTATCAATCTATCATGATCTACTCGGACATCTACAAGGCGCTCACAATGCCTAAATCAGAGCTTATGAGCTCTCTGCTCGAAGCCCAGAAGAGCGACGGAGCCGCAAACAGCAGTATGGGTCTCGAGGGACCTGGAGGTCTGGCCGTAGGCGAGCTGCCTATGTGGCTGGTTTGCGTATACTTGGTTGGTAACACAGCTTTGAGTATGCTCAACTTTTACTGGTTTTCGCAGATGATAAAGGCTGTTCAAAAGAGGTTCGTGCCTGCGGACGAAAAGAAGGTGAAGAAGAGCCAGTAAGCTCTTGTATTGACAAGGGATGAGATACGAGTTCAGGATATGTGAATGTTTTTGGTGGGCACTGCCTAATGTTGCTGATTGACGGAACGGACGGCTACAAAGTAATGATACCCAGCGTCCTTGATGATTGTTGTATTTATTAAAGTCGATAATACTGAATATAAACCATATACCGTAACGCAGCACCCAGTGACCTTGTGGCTTGAATGAATCGAATAGGGCTCAAATCCGCAGAGAACAACAGCTTGACCCGTCCCTCTCATAACTTCGCACTCGTACCACTCATCTTCTCTACCTCCTCTCTCAGAACCCTCCGCATTTCGCCTGCCATCTTGGCGCCCTCTTCGTCATCCAAATCATCTCTTTGACCCCGCCCAAACATTGTCCAGCTCTTGTTTTTGATCTCTGGCATTGTCTCCGGACGCGGTATGATGTGGAAATGCACATGTGGCACTACTTGCGCGGCACGTGCTCCTACGACCGTATTAGACGATGAAAAAAGGGCCGATGTGTAACGAAATCCCAACATGTGTATCTCCGGAAGGAATGTAAAAGGGAGACAGAGGTGGAAAGCGACTTACCGTTGTTCTGCACAATGTTGTAATCTGTTACACCTGTAACCTTGGCCACTGTCCTTGCTAACACTGGTAGCCAGAAGCCTAGTCACCCAATGAGTATACCGATCTTGTCACATAGTAATGCCCACTAGGCAACTTACCAATCTCTCTACTCTCCACGGGTTCCATATCTGCAACTTTGACTTTGTGCTGTCGAGTAGTGACTAGTAAATGTCCTGGTATATGTCAGCTATTGTCCGTCAACTCATGAAATCCTCAAATATCCGTGTTTCCATCACATATAGTTCCCATGCGAAGAGTGTAACGACATGAACATGAAACTTACCGCCAGTCATGGGTAAGATGTCAAGAAAAGCAACAACATCCTTGCTCCTCAGTACAACAAAACTACTCGGATTGGTCTTCTCTGGGTCGCTTTCGCCGTCTTTAGGTACACAGTCTAGGTAGGACTCGTGGCTTTTACTTCTGCTTGTCCATAGTGTAGGACTATTTGACGAAGAGGGAGCTGGAAATGGAAAAGCGGCTGCAATGTTGCAAAACGGACAAGTTTCCGGTGGATAGTGGAGATCCGTTTCTTGCATGATTGGTCGTTGGCGGTGATGTTGCTGTTATTCGATGATGATTGCTGTGATGTATGTAAACACGCAGGTGTGACACAGATGGCCCGGGTGCGTGTGCGTCCGATGAGTACTGAATCGCGAACCACGATACTCCTGCTCAATCCAATCCGGCTTCGATAATGAGATGAAAACTGCGATCAAGGTTTCCCCGGATCGATGATTGATCGACAGCCGGAGCTGTGGTCGCTGTGCATTCAGCACTTGATTTCAGCTCCGAATCCAAGTTAGCGTCGATACTGACGTGAAGAGCCGAGGTACGTTGATCGCAAGGAACGCGACATGCGGCTAAGCACGTCGCACATCGGCATCGCGATCGTGAAGCGAGAGCGTGGCGTGTTGGCGACAGGACGCGCACGCGAAAACCGGGAAAGGTGGCGTTTTTCAAAAGACACGCTGGTGACGTATCGTGTGGTTTTCGGGATCCAGACGCGCACGCGATGCGTCTCGTGTCTGGTGTGGGCCTGACGCGAGATGGCTGGGAGGATGGCTAGCTATGCCATCATCGTGTAGTCACTTCAAACCAAAGGGATTCGCTCATTGATGTTTGGTTGAAGTTCTGGATGACATTTATGGAATTTCTGCTTCATTTGACGCGAAACAGTGCGCTTTCAGACTACTCATACACTGAGAGCTATCTCACATCTGCTACCCCAATGACCATGTTCCCACGCGACACCACATACAGATCCACAAAGGAATATCCTCTCCCATATCACACCATTCATGGTATATCGATCGCTAATGCTATGAGCGAGTATCCAGAGCCGCTACAAGGAGAAATGAAGTTAAGAGTGATGTGAAAAAGCAAGCACCCTTGATTTGCGCCTCCGTGCATGGGGGATGAACGCCTGCGACTCCATGTTCCAAAACAAGACAAGAAACCATAAAAGAAGTGTGCAACCAACTTGCATCCCATGTATTAACGCCGACCGGAAGATGGTATTAGCCAAGATGTAAACATGAAGGGTTGGCTTGGATGCAATCGTAAATTTTTGCTCCCGGTCGGAACCGAACTTCGTCAACCGCTGCTATTGAAGCATGGCGGTAGTGAACAGCTTTGCGACTCCTAAGCCAAGGACCGGGAGTGCCTAAAGAACACCAACGTCTTAGCGCTGGCTCTTGGTCTTGGAAGGAACAACGGCAGCCTCCTCCTCTTCTTCTTGAAGCGGGTTACCGTAAGCCGCAACGTAGTCCTTAGCCCACTTGCGAAGAACAATTGATGCTGGTGGATGTTAGTTGGGTTCCCAGAGAACAGAGTGTGGTGCGACATACCCTTCAAGAACTTCTTGCTAGCATACTTCTTAAAGAAAGCCTCGTGCACGACGGGTCCAGAGAGGTAGTCGATCATGAGCTGCAGGACAGGCTGGATCTCCTCCTCAGAGTAGCCGGCGTAGTGTGTGAGGGTGTTATCCTGTGGATGTTAGTGAGTGATTGCAGTATAGAAGTTATGATCACTTACCCAAGGGCCACGCTCGAGGACGAGACGAGCAAGGTACATAGCAGCGGCAGCAACCTGGCTTGGGGGGTGGGCAAGGAAACGATGGTCCAGGCAGCCAATCTCGAGGAGGTACTTGCCCAATGTGCGGGTCTGGATGTCGTAGTTGTCGGCCTTTGATATCCGGCGAAGGAAGTTCATGGGGTTCGGGTAGCTCAAGTCGTAGTTGAGAGCAGCAAGGACAAAGCGCTCGGCGCTGAGAATTTCCTCTTCGGTGAAGCCATCGTCGGCGACGTGGCGGAAGTTCTGAACGTGGGGCGAGAGGACCTCCTCGTACTTGGAGGCAATGAACATGGCGGTGACACCGACCAATTGGAGACGGTCCAGCTGGACGATCTTGGCGGAGAGGAAGCGGTCGATGATGTTGACAGCGAGGAAGAGGGTCTCGGGAAGAAGGCGGAAACGGGTGTGAACTTCAAGTAACCAGTCGACGAGAATACCTCGCATCTTCCACTCCAGCTCAGTCTGGCTTTCCATGTAGTCTGGGTTGGCCATGGTAGCAATCTCCAGCTCCTTCAGGTACTCGAAGATCTCAACAACATACTCGGAGACCATCAATGGGTCATCGACATCCTCCTTGTCTAGGTCTGGGCCATCGTAGAAGACCTCTGTAATGGGTGCCTCGACCTCCTTCTTTGTGCCGTTAACTGGCTTGGTGTCCTCAGTGGCGTTCTCCTCGGGCTTGACGTTCTCAGCCTCTTCCTCCTCTTCTTCATCGACCTCCTCAATGTCTTCCTCCTTCTCTTCCTTGACGGGCTTGGTGACTTGGACGCGCTTCTTGGCTGGCTGACCGGCAATACCGTTGCCGCTAGCTTGGCGCTTCTTCAGGTCGGATGAGTTGAGGTTCTTGTCCTTCTGTTCAAGGATAGAACGCGTCGAGTTGGCCCGCGATGGCTTCTTGATGCCAGTGGGCTGTGCTGCTTTCGAGACTGCGCCCTTGGGGGCCAGTACCTTCTTTCCGTCCTTTGCGCCAGCACCGACGGCATCAGTCTTGGTCACATTGCTGACGTCGCCGAGGGCAGCACGCTTCCTTGTGGCGGCGCCGTTGGCGCCTAGGGTAGCAGTTGATTTCTTCGTCTGGAGAGCCTTCTTGGGGACGTCGGCAGCAGACTCATTCGCGCCGAGGTTCGCGGCCTTTGCACGCGTCAAGCGTGTCGTGGCGGCGTTCTCATCGTTCTCGTTAGTGACGGCGCGCTGCCTGAGAGTTCGAGCCTATTACACGCGTTAGTTTGATGGATGGTGCCAGACGTGTTACTATGGTGGATCGGAAAGATGGGACGATAGTAGTTCAAAGGGCGACAACGTACAGCGGGAGGCATTGCAAGCAATATTATATATGCTGATCAAGGCTAGAGAGGTATCCAGGTGCTCGAGTATATCTGAAGTGTGTAATGGCGTGTGTAGGACTTGTTTTGATACACTGTTTTGAGGTGTCAGCAGAGCTCGATGAAGCTTAAAAAAGCGCGTGTGCAGGCTGACAACACGGGAGCGTCAAGAGCCGCGGTGTGCATGTGTAGTCTGACAGGCAAAACCACGGTCGATGCTCGCGAATGCTGGCTGCTCTGCCACGCTCTCTGGGATGCGGCAGCGACGGTGACGTGACGGGCGAGATGGAGACGAACCCTTGGAGCGCGAGATGCGTGGTAATTGAGTGGACGGGGTAGAGGTCCAGCTACAATTGTACACAGGAAGTGGTGGATGGGGGATGGGCGAAGGAAAGGTGGGCACCAAGGTGTGTTGTGGGAAGTAGGAAGGGTATGTTGTGTGTTTTGAGCGAGGGCAGGCTAGCTTGGCTTCCACGTCCCACGCGCCAAAATCGCATTCGAGGCTGGCAGAGCGTAACAGTGCACGCCCCACAGGCGCGTAGATGGACTTACCAGAGATGACGCCAGGTCCCAACGCGTAAATCTGTCCGTGCAGTAAGATGAGTCGAGTCGCTGGCAAAAAGCAGATGTTAAAGATGGGGTTTTGGAAGGTGCAGCGCAAGGGAGAGCGGTGGTCGAGATGCCGTGTTGTGATGGGCGAGGGAAGCAGACACACGTTGTTGCTGGGACATCGCGCCTTGCCTGAGAGACCCACCCCGGGCCGGCCTAGCCAATTGCGGCGGGTTTGAGAATTATTCGTGACATGTCCAGCAGCTGCACGCCATCCAGCAGGCGTCCATTGCAACAGCGTGAAGCATCTAGTGTCCCCAGCTGCATCAGACGAGAATGCTGCAGCCGCGGATATGTCATTTCCAGCCCTCGCGACTGGGTCGGGCGCTGCTGTCTGCCCGCACCTACACACAAGTCCAGGCCATCGACGTTAAACCACCCCCATCAATACAGCCTACCGTGGCTGCCGACGCCGGTGAACTGAAACAGGAAGGAACACGAAAGGAGCGATTTATTCCTCTACGCACATACAAGCCCCGCACACCCGGTCTGCGACATCTCAAACGACCTGTCAACGACCATTTATGGAAGGGACGACCGCACCTCAAGCTCACCATCGCCCGCAAGGGACAGCATCTGGGAGGAAGGAACAACACAGGACGAGTCACAGTCAGGCATAGAGGTGGCGGCCACAAGAGAAGGATACGCATTGTCGACTACAAGCGCTATCTGCCTGGCAAGCATGTGGTGGAAAGAATAGAGTACGACCCCAACCGGAGCTCACATCTGGCCCTCATTACCCGCGTGGCAACCGGAGAGAAGTCGTACATCATCGCTGCAGATGGCATGCGGGCGGGAGATGAGGTCGAGAGCTACAGGAGCGGTATTCCTAAAGATCTGATTGCCAGTATGGGTGGCGGCATCGATCCCGGTATGCTGGCCGCGAAGACGGCGGCGAGAGGAAACTGTCTTCCCATTCACATGGTGCCCCTTGGTTCTCAAGTCTATAATGTAGGCACCAAGACACAAGGTGGGGGTGTTTTCTGCCGCAGTGCAGGTACATACGCCATCATCGTGAACAAAGAGGAAGTCGAAAAGGGCAACAGCACAGAGATCAAGCATGTTATCATCCGATTGATGAGCGGCGAAATCCGCAAAGTCAGTGGGGATGCGTGCTGTACTATTGGCGTTGCTAGCAACCCTCAATCACATTTCACATCGCTTGGCAAAGCCGGTCGTTCACGGTGGTTAGGAAAGCGACCGGAGGTCCGCGGTCTTGCAATGAACGCAGGTCAGTCCTTGGATCAGTCTAGCTTTGACGTGAAGTCCACTAACATACCGCAGCTGATCATCCTCACGGTGGTGGTCGTGGTAAATCCAAGGGTAACGTGCATCCCGTCAGTCCATGGGGCACTCCAGCAAAGGGAGGTTACAAGACCAGACACAAGAGAAACAAGCACACCTTCCTTGTCCAAGATCGACCACGCAACCAAGGAAAGCGGAGGTCAAAGTAGGGTAGCAGCCGGTGTACTATACGCTCAGGTCCGAGCTGTACTATATCTTGTAGTCGCCCATCGCGGTGAATGTCAACACAAGTCTATCTAGTGACATGGGTTGTGTGCTGTGTAGACTCCCCAGCTAGTCCAGCTTATCCACCAACCCCAATCCTTTCACCGAATATCCCATCATGCGCATTACACCACCAAACACGTATCTCCTGCTCAGACAGTTTGACATATTCTCGAACTTTGTGCTCTCATGCAAATCTAAGGTCATTGGCTTGGCAGCGTACATCGGTGGTTCTCTCGGTCGCATCTATCCCTGCCCCTGTACAGTCAGCATGTTTAGTCAGCGACCAAGCTCGGTGATCGGGGCTTTCCATGTTGCGGCTCTATGCAATCTCGCGACCACCTCTTCCCAGCCCGCATAGATCACTTGGCCTGAGCAAACCAGATCTACTGGTATAGCTTCACTGAGATGGAAGTTGAGAAGAAGGCGCCATCACGTATGAAGTTTGGCCATTCGTATCTTGAAGTTACTGCTCGTCTACAACATTTTGTGATTACTACTAGTGCAACCGCTGATAGACCGACATCCTGTTTCAAGCCGTCGACCAAATGTTTGGGTTGATGACACAAGACGCTGCGCGAGGATCGGGCGCATTCTGACCCATCTTGGGTTGGACTCATGCCCCACATTGCCGCTCTGGCGATGCTGCATGTTCAGGGCCCTGCAGACACACGGCACCCGCATTCGTAGGACGGCACGTAAGATTCGGGTTACTGAACAGCTGTCAGGATTCATAGGGCCAGTTGTCTGTGAAAGTAGTCGTGTCTAGCTGCGAAACACGAGTAGGGGGACCTTGTGGACAATCCTAGCTGGAAAGCTCGGGAGATCCGCCATTATTAGTCCAGATGCTCGACGTCTTGCATCACGCTTAAGGCAGCACGCATTGCGCGGACGGCCTTGCAGATGAGACCACACAGATGAGAGCAGCTCAGCCATGGGTCATTTTATGCCCGCTAGTGAATACACTTCTGACATGCTACTTTCGCATCTACCTTAGAGCCATATCGCGTTCCTAGTGCTGGCGCCAACCGTCGCTGCCTACTCACGCGTGTTCGAGATCCCCTTCACCGACAACGATACCCCAACAGTAAGCGACCGTTGTACCGCCGACGTAGGTTTGACCCAATCTCGCAATAAAAACGAGAGTTGTGGCTAGCTAGAAGACCCCCAATCCGTCTGAACCGTGCTTACGCGGGGGCGGTGTCCTCTGGTTCAACGTGGATCTACGATCCCTCCTCGACCCCCAAAGATCACAGTAATCGCTACCATGGCTTCTAACGGGTCAGAGTCGCCGGATGAGACCTTCTTTAACGATCTTTCCCAACCAGCGCAAGAAACGAACTCTACCAACGGTCAGGACACACAGCAGGAGGGGCCGAACAAGGTCAAAAGGATCGCTTGTGTTTTGTGTAGGAAGAGGAAGTTGCGATGCGACGGCGCCCGGCCGACGTGTTCGACATGTAAGCGACTGTCCCACGATTGCGCCTACGATGAAGTCCGCAAGAAAAGTGGGCCCAAGCGTGGCTACGTGAAGCTGCTCGAACAACGACTACGTAAGTGAGCGCGTAATTCTGCTACCTATCTCGTGCTGACTCGCTGGCTGTAGAGCAAGTCGAGACCCTCCTCAAGACCCAAGACACGGCCGACTCGAGCAAAGAAGCCCCGCGCCAGGATTCCGCTTCCGCATACGTCGCGAACACTATAAATCAAGCGCTGTCGAATTCTAGGGACGGCCTCAACGCGACAAACAATTTCCAAGCAGGAACCAATGCATCGAGGACTGCTGGCGCAAGCCCATTCCAAAATGCTGGTACAGCAGGGAACGACGCCGAGACTGAGCCCTCATGGGAGATGATCGGACTTGGGCTAGAGGAGCCTCTGCCTCCCCAAGAAATCATGGACGATCTGTACGACGGCAATCCTGCTTGTGGTTTGGTGGTTTTACTGACACTCAGCCAGATACCAAATATACTTCTCCAAGCTCCATCTCTCCATGCCCATCATACATAGACCAAGATTCATGGCTGCTTTAAACCTGGCTCCTCACATGCGACCCCCGGTCTGCCTGCGATACATCATTTGGACCCTAGCAGCTTCCATTTCAGACAAATACGATGCATTACACGAACATTTCTACCAACGTGCCAGGAAATACGCGCAAGCGGATGAAATGAAGGGCCATGGAGAGTCTACCATCACACTTGCACATTGTCAGACATGGGTTTTGGTGGCTACGTATGAGTTCAGACAGATGTACTTCCCGAGGGCCTGGTTGTCAGCTGGGAGAGGCGCAAGACTAGCTCAGATGATGCAGCTACATCGCTTGGATGGAGTGGGACTTGACGTGAAGCAATGCCTAGCTCCACCGAAGGATTGGACCGAGCGTGAGGAACGTCGAAGAACCTTCTGGTTAACCTTTTGCATTGATCGCTATGCAAGTATTGGAACCGGTTGGCCGATGACCTATGATGAGAAAGACGTAAGGATGGACAACTCGTTGTTCTGCCTCTGCAGGCGCTGACCGTGAACTAGATCATAACCAACCTACCAGCAAGTGATGAAGCGTTCGAGAAGAGTAGGCCAATGGCAACTGGGCCATTGGAGGAAATTTTCAATCCTGGAGGCGTAGCAAACCTCCAACCACTCGGCGGCATTGTCCTGACAGCTGCCATGTTCGGCCGCAACTTGCTTCACTTGCACCGACCTTTGCCAGACGATAATGACGACGATATCAACGGCGGCTTCTGGAACCGACATCGGCACATTGAGCGTATACTCCTTCAAACCTCGCTGAGCCTACCAGACCCTCTCCGTCTACCATCTGGTCTGGCTGATCCTAACGTAGTGTTCACGAATATGTGCATCCATACCTCGGCAATATGTCTTCACCAAGCAGCAATCTTCAAGGCAGACAAGTACCGGTTGCCAGCAAGCGTCAGTAATGAGAGCAAGATCCGATGTGTAACAGCAGCGGCAGAGACTGCTTCTATTATGCGCATGGTCAGTCATATGGACCTTGGTGCAGTAAGTATAGTCTTGGTTGCGATGAGTAGTTGGCAATGACTGACTTGAGCAGATGAACCCGTTCATCTCTTTCTGCGTTTATGTGGCAGCAAGAGTATTCGTGCAGTACCTTAAGACCCGACCAAAAGATGAACAAATGAAGTCTTCGCTGCAGTTTCTCTTGCAAGCCATGGAAGCCCTTCGTCGGAAGAACCCGCTTACAGAGTCGTTCTTAGTGCAATTAGATCTTGATTTGGAAGGTGCTGGTCTGCAAGGCATGCGTAATCAGCCATTAGCACAACCTACGGGCAAAGTGAGTCAACCCCCAGAGAGTCTCCAGGGATTGAGCGATTCTGTTGCGAATCAATACCAAATCCCGGGTCGAAGTTCTACCAAGTAAGTTGCTAATCCTCAACCCATAGTCTACCATCATCTCGATTCATTCTGATCCGCAAATTCGCTGTAGTCCTTTGATCAACATACAAGAATCGCAGCATTCTACCGCAGCAGCCACTACGTTCGGAGATAGCGTTCCATTTACTCCAGCATCGATACCCAATACGCAATACTCGAACAACAATCCAGGTCCGCCGTTTCATATCCACAGCATCAACAGCATCAACATGCATGCGCAGAATTCGGCCTTCATGCCATCGCAATTTAACTCGCACGGAAGCTTTGCTGCTAACCAAGAATTCACTCCCGCCGGCTTCGCATTCAATGATGGGAACGAGATGGACCTCTCTGGAGGCGATAGAGGTGTTGACCAGCCCAGTCCCGCAACAATGAGCACCCAATCACGAAACGGTTCAACATCACGATCTTCTTACTCTCCTGGTCAGCCAATCGAGCACAACATCCCATACCGGGCGTCCCCTAAGATGACAGGGCCGCCGCTGGGCTCTAACACTAGTTTCCAAGGATTTGTTGCTCCTAGCGAGAGCTTTCCTGCGAGTAACTTTGGCGCATCTGGAACCCTGGGCAACACAGGCTATGGTGATGGGTTCGTGATGGGCAACGAGTGGGAATACGCGGCTTTGAATGCCGGGACAGGTCTCACGCCGATGGCAGACGCATCGTGGGATTCGATGCTGGAAAATATCACGATGGGATGGGATTCTGTCGGTCCTGGACACGAACACGCCAACCGAGCGAACGCGGCTGGAACATGATGAGGCTTGGGGTTGAGAAGATGATTGTGTTGGAATAGCAGGATACCCACTTTCGCTTTTGATTGAATATGAAATGGGGTTTGGTGGCATAGATGGATTTGACTCTGGGCCTGCGCATTCTTTTGTTAGTACGTCAGCCCGACGATTGTAAATGTCATTTACGTCATAATAGAGGGCCACTAGAAAAGGAACCTGTACATTACTATTTACACCACTCGAAACTGGCATACCCAGGTATGGTCCTGGGCACTTTTGATCATCCCCCGGATCCGTGCGTGGGGCCAGAGACGTATATCGACGGAGCAACTTCGGATCGCAGACCACGAACGCTTTGACGAGAGTGTTCATCGAGCACGAACTCATTGTTTTTGCGCCTAGAATGCGAAGTCGATACTTGGCCATGTATCCGATCTTCAGGGTCTCCGGGGATAATGCGGTTGCAGGGATGGCGAGGTGGGAGCGGTCAACCAGCGTCACACGTCGCAGTTGCCGGGCAACGAGCGAATGGAGAAGCTACGTGCAGCAGCTCTACCACATCACCACCGCTTTTTCGCAGTGTAGTGTCGTACAATTAATCTTCTCTCGTTCACATATCGTTCTCTCCTCTAGTTTCCCCGAGTTAGCAATTTAGCTCTCCCAGCCAGCGCGCCACTACTTCCGGCAAGTACAAACAGAGCAGTAAACATCGAGGCCAGCGTGCATCCCCAATGTTCACGTCCAAGGAAAGGGAAGGCGCTTCATCGCCCGGGCCTGGTGCCTACTATTCGCCGTCGCAAATGAGTAAGAAGCATCGAAATGCATCTGCAACTGCGATACTGACCATTGGCATACAGAGAGCTATCTCCAAGATCTTCGCACAAACCGCCCCGCTCGTCCTACCGGAGCTCGTCCTGCTCCCGCACATTTCAACACATGGTCGAATAGATCCAGTAACCGCATGTCCGACTCGTCCGCTATCTCTTCGTTACAACGCACCTTCACCGATCCCGTTGTCGACGCCGATGCGCGACCCTCCTCCTCGTACGAATCCAAATCGCATAGCCGAACGACGTCGAAAGCGAGTATAGATGACGTCGTAGCCAATGTTGGAAGGCCGCTGGTGCAGCCACCGCGAGGGCGCGAGACTACGAGGTCGTCGTCGCAAACACGAACACCAAGTGTGCAGTACCGCGAGAGGGAAGAGCGTCAGGCGGAGCAGGGCGAGGCACGTGCTATCCGCATTGCCATGGAGGATCTGGAACTCGCGCAGGAAGAGGGCAAGATATTCGAGGCGGCACGAGACGAAGCTGTCGAACTGGTCTGGAAGCATTGCAATCCCCATGCGGCTGGCGTGAGTCCGACCAAACCGTATGCTTATCCGGGCCTGGCCAGGAAGAACAGCGCGCAGAGGAGTCGGAGCGTCGAACCGAAGGATCAGGATCTGCAGCGGGCCAATTCTAAACTGCGGAAGCGACATTCGATGGGAAGTGCCGCGTCAGGGAGCAGGAGTAGCAGCTTGCAAAGCAACGGTGGTGGAAGCAATACCGATACATCAGTCGCTGGGAACGCAGGTTTCAGTACGTCGCCCACCAAGAGTAGCTTTGACACAAAGGGCAACAAGGACGAGTCAACAGCACTAAAGAAAGCAATTTCAGATCTCCCAGACTTCAGAGGACGAAGAAGGAGCAGTGGCCAGCGCCGGACTACCAGCGGGAGTCTCTTCTCGAACCCGAAGGACCAGATATACGAAGAGCCCGAAGAGGAAACACCACCTGCGCCTGCACCTACGCCTGCCGCTTCCGAACCACCGAAGCCCGAAAAGCTACCACTAGGCATTCGGCGCAATCCCTTTATGCGTTTCCAATCCATCAAGGGAAACCCGATGGTGAGGTCCAACACGGATCCCATCATGGCTGCTAAACGCCTCGATCGTTACGAGATACAAAAGAACCCTCCGACTCAGTCAAGAAATGCGGCGTATACACTGAACTCTGCAGCCCCAAAGCCGTCAGAGGATGTCAAGGTAGACGCAGAAAATGAACCAGAAGTTAAGATGAAGGACGGCAAGGAGATAAGAAGCGAAGAGCTCCGTGCTGCTACAGGGTTTCGTTTGAAGGACCGCAGTCCAAAGCTGCCCACTCCTACGGCAGTCTCAGACGCCCCAGGGCGACCGATCGTTTCCTTCAAGAAAGACTGGAACGTAATCGAGATGAAAGAGGAAATATCTACTGCTCCCGATCTGACACCACGACCTCTGAACCCAAATAAGTCTGGCAAGCCTCCACTCGAGCACGCTGCAACCGAGCCCATTGTACCTACCACGAGCCTCGCGCCAGATGTACCTAAGCGAAACACTACTCCAAGACCGCCTGTGGTTCCAGAGATCAACGTTTCTGCAGAGCCCAAAGTCAGTCTTGCACCAGACGTACCAGAGCGAAGCACTACTCCTAGGCCACCGGTGGCTCCAGAAATTGACCATTCGTCAGCTTCCGTTCCTGCACCTGGGCGTTTCAATCTCAAATCAAAACCTACCATCAACATCTACGAAGACCCTCCAGCGCCAGCGAGACCCCTACCACTCACTAGTTCGCTAAGGAAGGCCAACATCCCAACTCGACCTTCTGTAGCTCCTCTGCCTACTATTAACGTGTCTGAATCGGGCCCTGCGCGTTCAAGAACGACACAAGCACCGCCACTTCCTTCTATCTCCGTGTCTGAGACCCCATCAATTTCAGCCAGAAAGAATCTGTTCAATCGTAGCTCCTATGTGCCGCCAACAAGTAGCACTCCGTCTATACCAAGCATATCGGTCAACGAGTCTCCAGTTCTAAGACGAGGTTCCACAACACCCTCAGTCTCCATGACACCGGAAATCCCATCAATCTCCGTAAGCGAATCACCTGCGCCGAGCCGTGGGTCAAGAACCAACGCTTCCCCAATTCCAAGCATCTCCGTGAGCGAAACGCCTTCATTGAGGAGAGGGTCGACTACACCATCTATTAATGTGAGTCCTGACATTCCAACCATATCTGTCAACGAGGCCCCAGCTCCTGCTCGAGGGCGCAACAACATCAACCCTCCTGCGATATCGGTCAGCCCTTCAGTGCCTTCGATCAACGTAAACGGACCCAAAGATTTCGGCCCGGCCGCGTCTACACGACCACTACCAGTGCCAAACGCCCAGAACAAGTCCCACAGCTACAACGGCACTGCGACTCCCCGCTCAGGCCACTGGACACCAACCACAGTCCGTACAGGCGCTCTCTGCACCCAATGTGCCCTCCCTATCGCAGGCCGTATCGTTTCAGCATCAGGCTCCCGCTTCCATCCCGAATGCTTCGCCTGCTACCAATGTGGAGAGCACCTCGAATGCGTAGCCTTCTACCCGGAACCTTCGAACAAACACGCCGAACGCGTCCACCGCATCCGCGCACGTATTGCCGGTGCCGATATCCCCTATCTCCCCTCCCACCCCACCGCAGATGACATGGCGCGTCTCGAGTATGATGATGGCACTGATGAATCTCCACGATTCTACTGCCACCTAGACTTCCATGAGCTCTTCTCCCCGCGTTGCAAAAGTTGCAAAACGCCAATAGAAGGCGAGGTCATCGTCGCTTGCGGCGCGGAATGGCATGCTGGTCATTTCTTCTGCGCTCAGTGCGGTGATCCGTTTGATTCCACAACCCCTTTTGTGGAGAAAGATGGATACGCTTGGTGCGTGAATTGCCATACGCATCGCTACAGTACGAAGTGTAAGGGGTGTAGAAAACCTGTTACCGATACCGTTGTCAAGGCACTTGGGGCGGAGTGGCATGTTGGATGCTTTGTCTGTGTGGTAAGTCTTCTTCCTTCTTGCAACTCAAGTATCACGCTTACTGACTTTACCTGTGTAGTGCTGCTCTGGTCCTTTTGAAGACGGTAGATATTTCCTCAGGGGTGAGAGTCAGGATCCTGTTTGTGTGCGCTGTGAGGAGAGGAGACTAAAGGCCTGATTTGGCTGATTGTCCGCTTGCCGACCTCATTTTGCTGGGTGTTATTTGCATACCGTCTGAACATTTTGGCATTTGCGTCATTTGGGATGGGGAGAAAGGCGCTGTCTGGGCGTTTTCTGGTAGCATATCAGGTAGTTGTGGAGTTGGTAATACAAGAAGAAGAAGAAGAAGAACAGCGGTAAACAACACGGTGTGCAGCTTGTTGGTCTCGTAGCGGTAAAGCAAGGTGAGAAACAGAAGATTTAGAAGGCGTCTTGACTGGTGCCGGGCTCTTCGCCCCTCTTTCTCCAGGTTTGAGATGTTACCACACAGCCAAGAGGAGATATCGTTCACTGTCGAGGTTGATATTTCTCTGAATCAGGATATCGAGGGATCAGTGGGTATACCTGCTTAGGGTGAATGATAGCCCCGAACATTTGACCTTGGTTTCCACGGTTCACGTTTTCGGTATCACGAACATAATCGCGTGGAGTCATATATCCACGTCTTGATACACAGGCTTTCCTTTTGCGGCTAATCGTCGGAGATTATGGATTAGTGAGGAACTCAGGTGATATTCGCCGTATACATTGTAACAGGGATGCATCGTTGTGTATCCTAAGAGTATTTGAATCACGACTATACCAAATACCTTCAGGATACTCTGTAGCCTACATCCACGTTGTTGTTGTTGTTGTTGTTGTTGTTGTTGTTGTTGTCAATTTTTCATTCGATGGTACATCTAATAATACAAAATCTCTGTTCAAAGCAAGCAAAGAACCACGCTTTAGAATCAATAATACGCCATGCATGCACCGTGTTTTCGTGGCCAAATACATGCTTTCCTGCCGGAGAAAGACATCGTCTGTTGGCTGCCCGTCACCATTACCCCCAACGATACAAGAGACAAACCATAACCAGGCTGAGGAAATCTCTGGCTCAATCTATATCTGCTGCCAGAACGCCGCGACGCTGCTAAAAGAAGGAGGAGGAAAGAAAGCCGAGGTGTAGTATACTAAACTGTACTTGCACACAAAATAAGCAAGCGAAGAAGGGAACAAGACAGAGAAGACTGCCAGCGCTACTGAAAGCTGTCTGCCCTTTGATCAAGAAAATTTGGAGTCTCCCCCTTGGTTGAGTAAATGGGGCTTACTGACTGCTCCCATGTCTAACCCCATTCAAACCATTCATCCTATCAAGAAACCTGTCCGGCGCGGGACTCGACTTTTTAACAGGTGGGTCAAGGATCGTGGGGCTAGAAAGGGGTTCCAAGCTCTTAACTGGCGGAAAGATGGGTGTCTCAGACATCTGATGACTCGATATTGGCCGCATACCATCGTGCTTCAATGGCGCTGGGATGGGATCGGGGAGCATCTGAGCAGGCATTTGGGACGAGGGAGACGGAGCTATACGCATTGGTGCTGGGGCCGGTGATGACATGTTTGCTGGAAGAGGTGCAGGCGAACTATGTTTGGTTGGGGAGAATGATGGACGGTTGGCCGAGCTAGGTGGGAAAGAAGAGTGTGGGCTGTTGAAGTTGAAACTAGGTGGTAGACCATTGGCTGGACGGGGAGAGGCCGCCGGAGAGTGTTTTACTGGCGAGCCGCCTGGGCCTGCTGCTGACGCTGGGCGACTGAAGCTTCGCGCGTACGGTGGTGCTGCCGGCTGTGGTGGTCCAAAGGGGTTGGAATCGAATGGATTTGGACCCCCAAATGAGCTGCCATTCTGCTGTGGTTGTGGCATATGGAAGCTTTTGGTTGGACTGCTCGGTATTCGCTCGAGGTTGTAAGGTGGAGGTGAAGACGTCGGATGACCGTTCCCAGTCCTGTGACCAGGGGATGAGAAGTGAGATCGTATCGGCGATGACATGCTACCGTTTGTGCCCTTTGTGGGCGATCCATAGGCAGCTTCCGATCTTTGTATACCAGGCGGACCCAAAGCTTGACCACGAGGAGATAGACTTGGGCCATCGACCCACGGCTGTACAGGATGCATAGACGGCTGGAAGGCTTGCGGTGCTGGTAGTCGTGGCATGGAGGTTCCGTTGCCATTTGCTTCTGCTAGGTTTTGAGAAGATGGCGATTGTGATGTCAATCGTAACTTGAGAGACTGAGGCTTCGGTTGATCCGCCTCTTCCTCTTTACGTTTGCAGGCAGTACAGACAAACACAAACTTCGAATCATCGGCCTGTTCTTCTGTAATGCCGTGACACTTCATGTGTTGCCAAACGTTGCACTTCTCACATGATATCTGAGGCGTGTTGTCGTTCTGTCAGAGTTAGCAAAAGTTGGGGTAATTGTGCAATGATACTCACGAGGTTAGAGCCATAGGTGCCGCACTTCTCGCAGTCAAAGAACCAGTCTTCTTCCTCGTTGAGCCTCTTGAGGTCACTTTCGTGCTTCTTCATCATGGCCTTCAGGTGCCGCTCCGATAGTCTTGCATTATTCGAGGCCAGCTTTTGCTCGTTCTCTTGCAGCTTGCGCAACTCCTCTTCTTTGAGGATCTTGGCCGTCTCACGCTCTTTTAGCCGTTGCTCACGAGTCATCCTGCGAGAGTCTTGTGCTTCCTCCATCTTCTTCTGCCTCTCTTGCTCTGCCTTGGCCATGGCAAGCTCCTCCCGTCTCTTGCGTTCTGCAGCCTCAGCCTCTTCCACCTCTTTCTGCTTTTCAAGGCGCGATGAGATTCGGGATGAGCGCTTTGCTGTGGCAAGTTTCTGCAAGTTTTCCAACTCTTTCAACTTGCGGGCCTGCTTTCTCGCTTGCTCCTCTGCCAGCCCCTCCATAACAGGTATGACGTCCTCCTGGAGCCTTTTGTAGAGTATCTTCTCGTTTGGGTCGCGACTCTTCCGAATACTGTTCATGTACTCCTGGTAGTCTTCCAACGTGACGCAGATACACTCCCACTTCTTACCGCCAAGACCGTCGTCTATCGTCTCAGGCTGATGTTCGTCCGCTACTTGCTCATCATCGGCGGCTTCTTCGGGCTCGGGAGTAGATGCCTTTTGTCGCTTGCTGGATCTCGATCCTTTTGATTTCCTGGACTTTGGTTTGGCTTTGGCTTTGGCAGGTTCGGGAGGCGGTGGTGGATCTGTCATTCGGTACATACGGTTGTCATCTAGAACATAGAGCGATCGTTCTTGCGAGTCCCAGCCTGTGGGCTCCATACGCTGCAGCATGTTAATCATTACCCTAAACCAATCCATGTGATACATACCCAGAGCGTCTGCTCGTTATCCGTCGCTGCCATTTTCTCTCTTATTGTATTTGGGTTGTTGAGCGTCCACACAGATAACTGCTGCAACACGCGTATCTTGGTGAAGACGTCGAAGTCGTGGAATTTGTTGGGCTCCTCTTCCTCACCAAAGGGGTTTCGGGCGGGCGCTTTGGCGACATACTGTCGGCGGGTGTATTCATCAAAGATGTCGGGTCTGTCATCACGTTAGTAGGCTGCAGGCAATGCGCAACGGTGGGTTCTTACGTCAAGCCCTTGTGTGACGATACGTGCTTCAGCAGCGCTAGGCCAATTTGTGCAAGTTTGTCGGACGGCTGTGGGTTGAGGCATTCAGACTCCAATTCCTACACGTCTGTCAGTTCCTGATGTTTGCGAGATGTATGCGCGCCAGCCTGAGATGGTGGGCGCAAATGCCATGTACCTCGATGTCAAAGTCCTTGTCGATTTTGACCGCGTCGCCGAACAGACTGATGTACTGGGCCAGGTTGGAGAACTGCCACATGTTGCGCAGTTTCTGCAATGTGCTGGGCTCTTCGACAGGCGCCTCGGCCTCCATTTCCTCGGCGGCGCGTTTTCGAGACGGCATGGCTGCGGTGCCTCGCGTGCAGCGACGCGTGTGAGCAACGGGCGAATACGGTTCCGAGACCAGAGGCGAAGGATAGAAGATGCGCGTGTTATCAGATGACGATGTGGAATGCTGTCGTTGTGCCGGTCGGCTCGGGGTCAGGGCGATGATGTGAATGCGGATGTCCCTTTTTGGTGAAGTGAGTGATGAATGTCGCGCGTCGATTGTCGGCGAGTCCGGGGGAGAGCCCAAAACGGCATAGTGCCAGCTCGCACATGTCAACTCGCAGAGACGGCATCTCCATAACGAAGAACGGCAAGAAATGATATCGATTTCAGTATACGGGCAGAACAGAAGGGCACAAGTACTATGTTGTATACACGGTATGAATAAAGGTCGCTTACCATGGTAGCTGCCATGATAAACTTTAGAACACCCATCTCACCGGAGAAATACGGGCTTATAGACTATCAACGTTTCGTGAAATGATACATGAGTCGACCGACGGTGGATTGGCGCGCACCGCACCAACTCGTTCGAATCAACACGGCAAGGGTTTATGTCATAAAGGTTTGGATGACCCGATTGATGACACAGGACGCGTCAGCCACGCAGGCGCACAAGCCACAGCACTCCACCAAGTGTGGCTCATTGACGGAGAATGCCACATGCCAGGGGCCAGAGACGTTGCATGGTAAGCCGTCAGCAGTTTCGGATCCTCTGCGGTCGTGTTGGTCCCTGGTGCTTATGGTAGCGTATTCTGGCTTCACGGGTCAACACGTGTATGTAGTTGTACAGCAAGAGCGCATTCGCCGTAGCAGACACATTCTGCTGTGGACATGGAGCAGCGCATGCCGACACGACAGGTACAGTAGCCGTTAAACTAAGATTAGAACCTCAGCCCTAGTCCACGCTGCGCATCCTTGTCGCTCATTGACCCTTGTCCGTGCTTGGGAATCCGCTATCCATCCCGCATTTCAACCAACACTTTGCTACCAAACATACAAGACACGCCTTTGCAACTCTGCGCTGGACTTGGCTAGCCCACCACCGCCTCTCCCATCGCTCCTTTGACCACGACACTCGTTTATCTTTGTTTGGAAGTCTGCATGATTGCGCAATAGCATCCTGAGAGAGCTGAGCTGCATCAGATGCTGGATTGAACGCCGCAAACCAGACAGGACGCTCCGATGTCCTACCCAGATCCCAACCACGGCCGAAGTCACACCCACCAATCAATACCTCTGCAAGATCTCAACCGCCCGCCCGATGAATTCGAACAAGATGCGCCGCAAGAACACAGGCGGACTCTCAGCGACCGCGGACGGAACCTGCTCAGACAGACAGGCGCGATAGCAACAGGGGGGCATTTCCGCGACTCTCAGTACTCGCCCATCGCAGAGGTATCGCCCAGCCCTACGCGCTTCGCTCAACGGCCGCAAATAAACACCAATTTGCCCCCGGCGAATAATGGCATACGGAGGGTGGTGCAAGACGAGGAGCCCGGCTCGCCCTTGGATGCAGGCGCATTCCAGGCTGCCATCGGATTCGGCATGGGCATGGAATTCCAAGGCACTACATCGCCGCCAATGCCTACGACAGGCTCGTCGCAATTATCCTACGTCGATACACCGTACGAGCACGAGCCATACGTGGACAGATCAACCTCCGAGGACCACGATTACTTCTCCCCTACCTACGATGACACAGCGCGCTTGACAGATTCGCGCAATCTCCAACCTATAAGTGGAGCCACAGCCCCAACTACTCCGATTGAGCAAGATCGATCCAGTTTCCAGAGCGTGCGCTTCCTCAGTCCAGGCGATGCATCGCCGATAGGCCGCCATGGCGACGATATCGGGCAGGTGGAGGCGGGGGGCAACTTGCGAGACTCGAGAGGAAGGAAGCGCTCCTTGTCGCCTGGCAATTTTGAGTCGCCGCTACACAGGGCTGGGACCATCATGCGGAATATGTCCCAGCGTGTTGTCAATGTCAGCAATGATTCTCAAGTTGCCGAACGAACCCTTCAGCGGAAATCCACCCAACATCAGGGACGCCTTGCACCACCTCATCTGTCAATTCCAACCTTGCCCGAGTATTCTACAGATGGCCCTACCTCACCTGTTCCATCCACGCCAATCGAGAAGCCCCCGTCCCCTATCGTTTACTCAAGAACGCCTAGTGCATCATGGCAACATCCTCCAAATCCTTTGCGAGGAAAGAGTCTGGGAATTTTCCCTGCTGACAATAAACTGAGGATCAAGCTCTGCGACCTGCTTGTGCATCCAGTTGTCGAGCCAACGCTTCTTGTACTCATCGTCATTCAGACAGTTCTTCTAGCAGTGGATGCGCGCACCAAAGCGCAATACAATGCTGGCCACAGCAAAGAGATCTCAACATTCAACGGCATTGACTACGCTCTGTTTGTTCTGTTCATTATATACACGCTAGAGGTTGTCATCCGCATCATTGTCTCTGGTTTCATCATCAATCCCGTTGAGTACAGTACCATCAACCGACAGGTTGGCTTGCGCGAGGCTGTCATGAGCAAAGCAAACCAGTTGTTCGGGGGTCTCCAACGACAACCTTCACAGCGAAGAAGTGGCACCAACACCGATCCCGCTCAGGATCCCCACCAGCCTTCAGTGCTCCGCACCTTTACCACTGCGCAGATGCATACCGACATCGGAGTAGGAGATGCACGCCATCAACAACGCACTCGTTTGGCACATCGAGCCTATCTCCGACATTCTTTCAACCGAACTGACTTCGTCGCCGTCGTTTCCTACTGGATCGCTTTTGTCCTAGGCCTGTGGAACATTGACAACAGCCGAGTCATTCTCGTCTTCGATATGTTGAGCTGTCTGCGCATCATCCGTCTTCTGAACCTTACCAGCGGTACCTCCGTCATCCTCAGGAGCTTGAAGAAAGCTGCGCCTTTGCTGGTCAATGTTGCATTCCTTATCAGCTTCTTCTGGCTCCTCTTCTCGATTGTCGGTGTCCAAAGTTTCAAGTCAAGCCTCAGGAGAAACTGTGTGTGGTATGATCCAACAGATCCAACGGGAAACACGAACGTCACGAATGAAGGTCAATTCTGCGGTGGTCACCTGGAGAATATTCCAGGCTATCACCCTGTGACATACATACCTGCTCCGGGCATGCCATCTGGGCCTGACGACGGCAAAGGCTTTCTTTGCCCAAAAGGTTCAAAATGCGTTGAGATGAGTAACCCCGCTGCAGGCACGAAAAGTTTTGACAACATTCTCCAATCTCTTGAGCTTGTTTTCGTCATCATGTCATCCAACACTTGGTCTGACTTGCTCTACACTGTAGCCGACACAGACTACCTTATCAGTTCCGTCTTCTTCATCGTGGGAATGCTGATTCTGAGTTTATGGCTGATATCTCTTTTGATTGCTGTCATTACCTCCTCCTTCCAGATCATTCGCGAAGAAAGCAAGACTAGTGCTTTTACTGGCGTGGAGATCAAAGAAGAGGATGACGAGAACAACGACGAAAAGAAACGTGTGAGCGGTCTCAAGCGGCTTTACGACAAGACTCTATGGGTGTGGGTGGTTGTGATAGCCTTTGGCCTTGTTGCCCAGATGATGAGAAGCGCCAACATGAGCGACTTTCGTCGCACCTTCATCAATGCCACCGAGATCATCGTCACGTTCATCTTGTTCGTCGAGATAATCATACGAATTATCGTCGACTGGAGACATTTCTTCAAGGGCAGGCGGAACCTCATCGACCTCATGATCGCCATCATCACAGTCATCATACAGATACCAGCCATCAAGCATGCACACGATGGGAAAGCCTATGCCTGGTTGTCCATCTTTCAAATTATTCGTGTCTATCGCATTGTCTTGGCTGTGCCTATGACACGCGACCTCATTGTACGTTCTACTCTTTGCCATTCGAAAGAATCCAGCTAACAATCATACCAGACAGTTGTTTTCGGAAACGCGGGCGGTTTGCTGAACCTGATTCTCTTCGTGTTCCTTTTGACTTTCCTGGCATCCATCTTCGCCTCCCAGCTGTTTCGCGGTGAGATTCCTGAGGAGAGCGGTGGAGAGACGATCCGCGTACCGTTTTTCGATATCTACAATTCCTTCCTAGGAATGTACCAAATCTTCTCCAGTGAAGATTGGACCAGTATCCTGTACAACGTCACCGAGCATCAGAAGCCGTTCGGTACAGCGTGGATAGGAGCGTCCTTTTGTATCATGTGGTTCATCTTTGCTAACTGTGAGTATAATGTTGACGTTCATTTCAAGACCGCAGACTCACTGTTTACTAGTCATTGTCTTGAACATGTTTATCGCTGTCATTCAAGAGAACTTTGACGTTTCCGAGGACGAGAAGCGCTTACAGCAAGTCAAAGCTTTCCTGCAGCAAAAAGAAGATGGCCTTACCTCAGGCACTGGGTATGTTGACCTCCCTTTCTACTGATGACACACCTGCTTACACATTATAGTAATCTATCCCTATCGTCCATCTTCAAGCTTGGACAGGCGCGTCGGAGAGATCCACTTGACTATGGTTCCGCCGCTACAGAAATGCTGCTCAAAGATGCGGTTGTTCGCGACTTCCTCGATGAGGGGGATGGTAATGACAGCCCTCAAGAGGAAGAACCTCGGCCTGGCATACGTCCGGCCAAGACCATAGTGGGATCCGGAACCATGTCCACGATCTGGCAACGATTCCAGCGCCGAATTGTGCACCGGGAAGTCAACCCTTTCTACGCTCCCCTTGACTTCAGCCGTGCGTACGAGGACCTTGATCCTAGAACAATGGCAAAGGAGGTCGTCTCAGCTACCGAGAGACGAAAGAAGGCTCAACGCGAGTATTTGCGGAACCACCCGAACTACAACGTTTCCCTGTTCATGTTTCGAGCCAACAACCCGATCCGCAAGCTATGTCAGCGGATTGTGGGCCCTGGCCGTGGTGGTGACCGCATTGAAGGAGTTGCACCATCCGTTCCCGTTTGGTATGCATTCTCTGCATTTATCTAC